CACCCGAACAGTTTCCCTCTCATGTGGTCCCAGAAACTATCGTCTATCATCTCTTAGTAAATTGCAAGATAAAAAGCAAGAACAGCAAATGATAGGAATTTGGCTGAATAGTGCGAGTCCTGTCTTCCGAAGACAATTTGACTTCAACAACAATCCAGCCCAGCCAATTGCCTAGAGTCCTACTGATATCACAGAGTATACTTCATGAAAGGGGCATTGCACACCCCTTTTTCCGCGGCTAATGCATAAAATATTAAAGTATTAAAAGAAAGACCAGGGAAAGTGAAGGAGTTGTGACGCGAGAGTCATCAAGAAGGATACTTCGATGAAAGAGGAAGATGCGCCGGACTCTAAAGCCCATGACAAACTAGGACCAATGGGGAAACAAGCTCAGCTGCTTGTGGGCCCAATCACCCGAAGCCGGGCTCGCAACCTTCAAGGAATTTTCAATCTGATAGTCCAGAACTGGGTAAGCAACACAATCATCGATGAAGCACAAAGGAAGGCCCAAAGTCCCGTGCAACGATGGAAGACACGTACGACATGCGTAAACTAACTTTGGCACGTGAGTAACGAGCATGGGAATCCACCTGTGCAGGTGGATCACTCACACGCGTGAGACAGCATGCGAGCGTGCGGCCGGAACAGCCCGCGTGGCCCGCCCGCATGCACAGCATGCGCACAAGACCCACGCGACACACACATGGCACCGCACGTGTGCGCGAACCGAGTCGCAAGCATCACCATCCATGCGTGCGCAACCCGTGGCCCGAGAATCCCATGGCCAGCAGGCCCCCACCTGGCTGTCCCACGTGGCCAGGCCAGCAACTGGCCCAGTCGGCCCAAACACGCAAGCCCACAACCCCCACGGGCCTACCCCTTGCGACTCAAGCAGGCCGGTCAGGTTGCCCCAAAATGGCACTCCCCATTTTTAATTAATTAATAATTTTCTATTTTAATTTTTAAAAGGTTTCGGTACCCACTTTAATTTCCCATGTTTTTAAAATTACATCCCACATGTCTAAATTAATTTTCCCATGTGTTTTACATGGAAATCACAAGAGATAAGTTTTATCTTATTTTTATTATTATTTCAATGTAAATTCTATTCCTAAAATTATTTAATTAATTTCTTTGTATTTAGATGGGATAGAATAAATATTTTATTATATAACTATTCCAGAATTAAGATAGAATTTTATTTAAGATATTAATTTATTATTTTATGCAAGAATTTGTACTCATCTACATTGCCCCGAGAAAGGCTATAAATAGGTCTTTACCCATAAGTTGTAAACATACTAATTATAATTAATTTGAGAGAAATTTTTGAAAACTTAGGCCTTTCTTCTATTAACATTTTTGCTAATTTAATTTTTTCAAGCTTTTCGAGGAGCAAAAGTCTTCAGAAGTTTTATTGAGCCAAGGAGCAGGGCTCAACTTATTGGTAAATACGTGACGTTTTTCCTTTTCTTGTTTATTTTCTCTAATCTTTGTTTTTATATTCCTTTTAGCATTGTATATTCAATTAAAAAGAGAAGTTTATCTACGCGGTTAAAGTTTCGATATTGCATAACGTTGAGTGAGTTATAGGAGTTGATTCAATTCTTCCCATACCCTTCCGCGTCAAGTTGTCTTCGTGAAAGTTTTGAATGTCACTAGTTGTGATAAATACAAGCCACTCTAACTCTAATCAAAGTCAAATTACTATAAACCTCAATGATTGGGAGATCAACGAATATGAGAAGCTCCTATATACCTTATCTTGCATTGTCCCAGATGGTACCGACGATCAATCCATATGGAGTCTTACTAAATCTCGATCTTTTACGGTCAAATCCTTTTACAAGCATTTGACCAAGCAGGAAAATGATGACAGTAAGTTTCCTTTTAGATATATATGGAAGGCTAACACTCCTCCCAAGGTGGCTTTCTTTGCTTGGGAAGCTAGTAGGGGTTGCATTCTGACGATTAATAAAATTGATGAGAAGGGAAATAATAATGGTGAATGGGTGCTACTTGTGTAAAGGAGCTGTTGAGACATATAATCATGTCCTTTTATAGCATCCGATAGCATACAAGCTATGGTCGATGACTTATGATTTATTGGGTATCAATTGGGCGATGGCTAGGTCAGTTAGAGATGATGTATGGGCATGGAAGAGCGTAAGTTGGCAAAGGAAATATATTGATCTTATTCCCTCACTATTTTTTGGGTATTGTGGAATGAGAGAAATAGAAGAGCTTTTGAGGGGGTAGAGGATGAGAGAAACTTTCATGGGATTAGGAATGGATGGTTCCGATGCTCGGTTTTTTATTTTGGGTCATCCATTATATTGAATAGAGAACTTTGGGGAGCTTCTTGATATGTTGATAGATATGTAAATATTTTGCATACACATTGACACCTCTTTAGCACTTATTAATATATTTTATACTTTTATTAAAAAGAACATAGATTACTATAAACTAAAGCATCAAATAATATGAATAGTTGCAAACCTTCCGCGAGGGTCCTGAGCCAGTTCTTGCAGGTACTGGAGGATCAACCTGATGATATATATCCAAGTAGTTAGTAACAAATATGGAAATCAGTACAACCCTAACAGGATTAAAGTCTGGCTGGCCTTTGCCTCAAAATGCAACTAACATTGCTAACTACCTTTGCCTCAAAATGCAACTAATGTTGCTGCCTAGCAATCTTACCATCTATTGTAGGATGTCTATGTGTGTGTTCCTGATGATAATACAGAATCCTAACTTCTAGAGAACTTGAAGTCCATAACTCTGTTTCACACAATAAAATTTTAATTTTATTGATCACCAATTACAGTCATATGTGTTAACAGAAAAGCCCTAGCATATAATGCCATGACATTGTGATGGCAACTGTATCTCGATAGATTGGCTAATCAAGCAGTTGCAAAACAAATCTTTGCATGTGTTAAGAGAAGCTCAAATAGCAGTCCAGAGTTGAAGTAGACATAACAAACTGCATCATTATGCAATTCTCAATTTGATAACTGGATATGTATAATACTAAAATAATATGAGGGCAAACTTTGGTCTAAACATAGCAAAAAGTTTAGTAATCAGAACAAACAGTAATCTAGAAACAATAACAACCAAATGCAAACCTCATCAAACTTCATGAAGTTCCGTGTATCTAGCTCCCCATTTACTTCTGGCTTAAATGCTGCCTCCATTTCATATAGTTTATCCCACATAGTGTCCTTGAACCAAGAATGAGCCTGATAAAATTCTTTCAATAAACATAAGATAGAAAATTTTGATTAAATTATACAACATTTGGTGAATTAAGTTCTTACCTTAATTTGATTTGCTCCTCCAGTGCCTAGCCTATGATCAACGTCGCAAAGCAACCTACAAATGAGATCCTTTGCCTCAGGAGACAACCTTGCATCTTCTGGAAATTTCAAGTGATTTCGCCAATGGACAATCTAACAGCAAGAGTAGATTAAGGGCTAAAGTGAAGATTTCCAGCTTATTACTTAATGTTCTTGCAAAAGAGGCTTAATTGTTTCAGAAATAATGGAAGAGAAACAAAAAGCAAAATAACAGAAATAGAGCATAAAGTGAAACATAACATACGTAAAAGCAAAACTGTCATTGTAAGACACTAGAGACAAAGAATTCAGTAGACTGGTGGCCTCTGCATGAAATGTGCTGATGGAAAATCTTGTTAAATCTAATACTATACAAGTGGATGATATGGTGAAAATAACAAGCCTACACACAGGTCCAAATCAGAGAGACAGCCATATCCGTTTTCATCAGTAATAGACTAGAAATACCATCACAGAATTACATATGAAGCATACATCTGTTTTTTATAAAAGAAGAAATATGATTAAGGGAGAGAGAGAAACAAATACAAAAATGGAGGGTAAGCTATCCTCTTCATATAAAGTAAATATACAAAGAAAAAGAAAGAAAAATCATATGAAGCATACATCTTAGATTTCATTAAAGCACTGCACAAGTAGGATCGAAATATCTCTCAGCTAATTATATATTAAAACCCACTTTTGGGTTCAATCATTACGATTGTGCAGTTTTATCCAAAAATTTTAAGTTTAAAGCATTTTTTATGATCCTCAAAGACTATACTTCTTTTTCTCACTTTCTTCTTCTAATTGTGCCAATATTACAATTTCAACAGAAAATTATACACTCTAAATTTCTTGCTATACCAAATGTTCCTAAAATACAAATAATAATAATAATCTGTTGATGGTAATCAATAAAATGCTGACATTCAGTTATGTCATGTAATACCCATGTATATATTATATATAGAGATAGACGAGGTCATTTTTGGTGAAATCATAAATCTTAAAATTCTGTGTCTGCACATAATTTAATTGTTTACTTAGTTAAATAAAATCCTTACAAATATTGGCCACTTCTCATTAAATATTCTTCATTCCTAGTTTTTCAGTACACTTCTTTTATTACAAAAACACTATGTTAAGCAATGATAAAAGTCTAACAGCTAAATGGCATGTAAACCTATGATGATTACTTTCAACATTTAGAAATTTATTTGATATATAATATTTTACTTTCTTTTTATTTTATCATTTACAATCATTACAGTGAATAAGATTGGATGGAAGAATCCCACTGCATCGCATGGGAGTAAATGTTTGTACTTTTTATTCTTTAAAAGAATACTGTATTACAAAGGCGCTAACATGACATACGAGGGTAGTAAAGAGTAATATTGGAGCTCAGAAAAAGGTATAAAACAGAAGTATGAAACATATTACCTTTCTGCATGTTGCTATCGGGTCATCAGAATAAAATGGAGGGTATCCAACAAGCATTTCATACATTATTGCTCCTAAAGACCACCTGGACAAAATTTCAACGTAATATGGTATATAAAACAAATTTTAGATTATAAAAAATGGGGAAAGTATAGAGTAGAATGTGTTCATGTAAGATGAAACAATCAAGCTTTTCTACAATTGCAGTGATAATCATAATCATACGTGAAGATATTTTTTGTGAGGATAAAGAATTTATAAAGTTGATGAGTGTCTGAAAGAGAGAAAAAGATTGCTGTCTTCTCAAGCATAAACTTCATTAACCACCTCGTAGATTGACATTCCATGCAGTTACCCCCCCATTTCAAAAAATGATTTATTTTTTCTCTCATGTTAGAGAAAACCATAAACAGTCAATTATTCATTAGTTGACTTTTTGCCAACTCACCTTATTACATTTCTTTTTTTTTTTCCAACTCACCCTATTACTTAAAATCCAAAAAGCTTCTATACATATTTAAGATGATTTTCATTTTCTTTTATACCCCATCTACCTTTTTTAAAAAAATATAAAGTATGAATTGTATTGATATAGGCACCAAGTGGGTGCTACCCATGTAGAAATTTACAAGTCAATCAAAGCATTAACAAGTTCCGATAAATCCTCCATAGAACAAAGAAAATGATCCCGTAACGAAAAATTAAGGATCTAGAACCATCTATTTTTAAGGATATAAAAGTCATTTACATCCTCAAGCCCATCAAAAGCCCTGTGATTCCTATCCTTTCAAACCAACCAGAAGACAGAGAGCGGAATTATTTTCAATTTTTTCCACCAGCTGCTAACACTCTTTCATGCCCAAATTTCTTCTCGCACCGAGCCTGCCCTCACCCAACCAATACCAAACAGCCCATACACCAGGGTCTACAGACTATAAACCTCCAGACACCAGAGCAAGACATGCTTCCAAATCTTCATTCCTCTTACAAAGATAACAAGCATTAACCAAAATCTCTCCCCTCTTCCTCAAATTGTCAATGATCAAGAAATATTCCCTACTAGCTTCCTAAGCAACAAATGAAATACAGGGTGGTACACTAGTCTTCGACAACTGCCTGACAGGGAAATATATGTCATTATCTTCACCCTTGTACACCTTCTTATAGAAGGATTTGACTGAGAAAAACCCATTGGAAGTGAGGCACCATCGTGGGGTGTTGATGCTTTCATCCAACAAAATACAGGATTAAATACCCAAAAGTTCCTCATATTCACCAATCTCCCAATTGTTAAGATTCATTGAGACAAGAACTTGTCATTCCTTCACACCACTACTGTTCTCCACCAAAGAGTCATGAATCTTGATGTCTTTCTGCTGGGCAATTGCATAAATATGAGGAAACCACTCCCTCAAAGTGCCCCCATATACAAAAAAGTTACACAAAAGTTATCTACTGATTTTATATTTTTCATTTAAATATGATTAATTAATTACAGGAAGTATATCATTTGAAAATTTATGGAGGAAATCTAGGATAGATCAACTAAAGGTTGTTTGAAATAATTTTTAAAAGAAAAAGAAATTTACTAGGAGGAGAGAAAAATACAATGATAGAAGATAAAGAATCCCCCAAAATATCAGTCAAGAATCTGACAATCACGGCAGCAACTATCCCCAAGGATTTGTGGATAAAGTGCTTGAATGTGA